CACCAGAGGGCAGGACAAGCAGTAATGTATAGAAACATATTGAGGAGAGATCCAACTTAGAACTAAGGAGAAATTTCCTGATTGAGAACAATTAATCAGTAGAATGGCTTGCCTCCAAATCTTGCGGGTGCTCCATCACTGGAGGTTTTTAAAAAGAGATTGGACAGCCATTTGTCCAGAGTAGTAGAGGGTCTCCTGCTTGAAGTTGTTCTAGAAAACCTCCAAAGTCCCTTCCAACTCTTGTTATTCTGTTTTCTGGAGGGTTGCTCTCAGCCAGCAGGGGTCTAGGACTTTTAGGTTCCCACCATTGATCTCTTTGCCTCCAATCACTCACCTTAGCCGATTCACCTTAGCCAGCTTTCCTCCTCTGCTGACCCTCCCCTGGACATTCTCCCTGAGCAATGGGCCACTATCCCTTTGCCCCTCGCCCTTCGGCCTGGCTCATTTGTCCAGACACCGTTTGTCCCAGGTGTTTCAGTCCATGGGACAAGAAGCCACCAGCCAATTGGGTGGCAGGAGGCAACAATGGCACTAGGAAGGGAGAGTGAGGGGGCTGTGAGGGGATGCGATTGGTGACAGGTTATGGGAGAGAGCAAGTTCTGCTGGGGGTGGGCAGCAGACAAACACTGCTTGCGTGCTGCTTCTGGGGATGTCTGGGAGGATGGCAGGCAAATGCTTGCGCACTGCTGCTGGGGCTGCTGGAGGAGCGGCAGGGCATTGATGGTAATTGCAGCTGTTGGGGGTGCCTGGGGGGGAGTCGAACGATGCTGATGCCCAGTGGGAGGGGCAGCCAAACTACCCGTTCAGCATCAGGCCAGAGTCCAGGTGCGGAGGCAATGGGGAGGGGGTTGAAAATGGGAAGCTGCCATGGACAATGAGCAGGCAGCAGTGGACAGGGGCTTCCAATTTTGACCTCTCCCCACTGCCATTGCCTCTGTGTGTGGACTTCAGCCTAAAACTGAACAGGCAGTTCGGCTGTCACCCCATGTGCTGGCACCATTCCACCCCCACCCACTAGGCACACCCAGCAGTCACGCACAAGCAGGGTTTTCTTGCCATTCCCCCTCCAGATCTTACTCTCTCCCATAACCTATCACCAATTACATCCCCCTCACACCCCCTCGCTCTCCCTTCCCAGTGCCATCATTGCTACCTGCCACCCGATTGTCTGGCGGCTTCTTGACCTGTGGAGCGAAACTCCTGGGACAAACTGTGTCTGGGCGAATGGGCCAGGCTGAAGGGCCAGGGGCCCATTGCCCAGGGAGAATGGCCAAGGGAGGGACAGCAGAGGAGGAAATCTGGCTGTGCATGGGCTGAGACAGGTGGCTGGAGGTGAAGTGGGAGCCTAAGGGTCACATTCCAGCCAGCAGGTATTTAAATGGGAGTTGGCATACTATATTCCCAAATAATAGGCAGGAGCTAAGAATCCAATACAGTAAGAGGAGCAGCAAAGCTTTGGTTGCTGTTTTCCCAGCAGGTGAAAAAATAAAAGGCAAGGTTCCATCTTGGGCTTTACAACTGGATGTCATGGGTCTAAATCACAAAGTTAGGATGCAGACCTTTAAAATTCCCTTATTGAGTTCTCTTATCAAATTCCTGTTTCCTCCTTCGCTCACTCACCCAGTGCTGCTTGGAAGCAAAATTACTCTTTCTATTACAATACAGAGCATAGATTAATATGATTAGAAGAGATCTTCTAGCCCACTATTGCTAGCTGAGGAATTCTGGGAGTTGAAGTTCACAAGTCATAAAAGGGCCAAGTTTGAAGACCCCTGTTCTAGCCGAACCCTCTTCTCAAGCAGGAGACCTTATACTATTCCAGATGTAATTGTTGTCCAATCTCTTTTTGAAAACCTCCAGTGAAAACTTCCACAGTTTCTGGAGGCAAGCCATTCCACTGTTTGGCCTGTTCGTCTAGTCGTTAAGGTACTAGGCTAGAAAGCTGGAGACCATGAGTTCTAGTTCTGTCTTAGCTATGAAAGCCAGGTGAGTCACATTCTCTTAGGCCAACTCGCCTCACAGGGTTGTTGTTGTGGGAAAAATAAAAGAAGGAAGGTATGTTTGCTGCCTTGAGTTATTTGTAAAAATAATAAAGGTGGGATAACCATAATAAATAAGTAAATTTCCACTGTCAGGAAATTTCTCCTTAGTTAATGATCTTCCATCTGTTACTTTTTATCCTGCCCTCAGGTGCACTGGAGAATAGGTGAATCCCCTCTTCTCTGTTGCAGCCCCTCAAGTACTGAAAAACTGCAGTCATATCACTCCTAGTGCTTCTCTTTTTTAGATTATCCCCTCATCTAGATCATGTCAGAATCCAATTATATTTCATCTCTAATTATTTGCCCAGATAGCCCTGCCCCTCACGAACTTACTAAAAACAAAGGGAGCATCCTCAGTAAAACCTAGCCAGCCACTAACATGGACAATGGAGTGCCAAGCAGCGTTTGAGAGATTAAAGAGACTTTTCTCTGTCAAACCAGTACTGAGGCACCCAGACATGGATAAGCCCTTCGTAATACAGGCAGATGCAAGTGATGTGGCAGTGGGGGCTGTACTATTACAAGAAAACGATGAAGGGGTATTGCAACCCTGTGCATATACATCCAAGAAACTCACGGAAATGGAACAGCACTGGCCCATATGGGAGAAAGAGGCATATGGGATACATTGGTCATTACTCACGTGGTGCCAGTTCCTTGAAGGCAACAAAATCTCCTTCCAGGTGTGGACTGACCACAAAAGGAAGCCCTGAAAACACCCAGGAAGCTCAACCCCAAGCAAGCCCGCTGGTCCCAGCATTTTCACCAGTTCCAATTTACGCTCAAGCATTTGCTGGGGGGAAAGATGCACTATCTCGCATGTCCCAATATAACAGCACGCGAGCCACCGACTCTAAACTGATGATGGTAGAATCACAACTGGCAGCGCCAGTAACCACCAGAGCCCAAGCTAAATTAAAACCACAGCTGGGCAGCCAAACTGGAATTGAATTCCGGAAAAGTTTGGAAACATGAATGGTTCCAGAAAAACAAAAATGTGTGCACAATGAGAGACAGGCTGCCTTGGGTGGGGGAAAAGTTATATATACCAACAACCCAAGGAGTCACATTCATGCAGCTTTGCCACAACACAAAATCAGCAGGGCATTTTGGATTTGTAAACACATTACACTTAATTAAATGGCAATTTTGGTGGCCATCTGTAAAAAAGGACATAGAAAGTTACGTGGCCAGCTGCCCAAAGTGTGCAACTGCAAAAAAGTTGCAAGGGAAATCGCCTGGACTTTTACAAACAGTGGCAAATCCCTCAGCCCCCTGGAGGGAAATAGCCATGGATTTTATAGTGGAATTACCAGAAAGCAATGGGAATAGTGTTGTCTGGAAGGTCACAGACTTTTTTCCAAACAGGTGCACTTTATCCCTTGCCAAAAGATTCCCACTGCAAAAGCCTTAGTGAAACGTTTCATCCAGCACATTTACAGATTGCATGGGGCACCCCAACGCATCATCTCTGATAGGGGAGTGCAATTTATGTCTGCATTTTGGAAGGAATTTTTATCCCTCTTAGGGACCACTCAGGGACTGACATCTAGCCATCATCCACAAGGGGATGGACAAACAGAACGGTGTCACTCAGTACTTGAGCAATATTTAAGATGCTTTCTGAATTTCCAACAGTCCGATTGGACGGACCTACTCCCTTTCGCAGAAGTTGCATACAATAATGCAGTCCACTCCAGCACATGTTACACTCCTTTTCAAATAGCCACCGATCAAAGTTTCAACCCCATGCCAGAATTAACCCCAAACGAACTGGCAATCCCATCACTGAAAGAATGGATGGAACAATTACAAAACACCTGGCCAATAGTTAGAAAAGCACTAGATGAAGCTAGGCAGGCATACAAAGCACAAGCCGATAAAAAAAGGGTTAAGCCTACACTATTCATTATAGGAGAAATGGTGTACTTATCTACAAAATACCTAAAGTCCCTACAACCCTGTAAAAAACTTGGAACAAAATATATAGGGCCTTTTCCAATTAAAAGAATCATAAACCCAATAACAGTAGAATTAGAATTACCCAAAAATCTCAGGCAAATACACCCAATTTTTCATTGCAGCTTGCTGAAAAGAGAGCATCAGTCATCATTACGGCCAAAAATCCCCCCCACCTCCAATCATGGTGGAGGGCGAACAACACTTTGAAATAAAAGAAATCCTAGACTCTAGGAGATATCATGGAGCGACTCAGTACCTAGTTGCATGGAAACACCTCCCTGCCTCACAAAACGAGTGGGTCCATAAACGTGATGTCAGAGCCCCGAAGCTATTAAAGAAGTTTCACACAGAGTATCCTATCAAGCCTGACTAACTTTTATACCTGTTTTGTGTTCTTTCAGGTGGATCTATCTTATTTTTAAGGGGGCAGGATGTCAGAATCCAATTATATTTCATCTCTAGTTATCGACTATGGAAAACCCCATTTCTGCCCTCTCTGGATTCTGTCATACGATGAAGGGGAAGGGGGGTGAACAAAGAGGTTTTATGACCCTCACTTCCTTTGGTACAACTTCAAAGGGGTGAATGTGGATACCACCCAAAGGACTAAAGCATAACAATAGGGCCATCAGCTTTCATCTACTCCTCTCTGAAATCTCCCTTCCACCAGCAGTGAGGAAAAAGGGGGTGGAAATGTAACGCCTGGGATTGTCACTGGAAAGATGGTGGGGTGGGGTGGGGCTGCTGGGAATCCCTTAAAACCTTGAACCGTAGGACTTGGGCCCCAAGTCCTGTCTAGAACGCCTGCAACCATTTTCTCTTAATAAAGGATGCCTATTAGAAGAAATATTCCAAGAGTTCTGTCTTCTTAAGATGCAGAGTGGGGTGGGTCCTTACAGATCATTTATGAAAATGTTGAAGAGTTCTGCTTGTTTTGAAGAAAATTGGTTGTTTTGTTTTTGAATTATATTAGAATCTTTTTGTGTATGTCTATAGCAAAGAAGAAACAGTACATGTGTATCCTGCTGATGTGGGCATCCTAGTCTTCTATAATGAGGAAGTTCGGGATCTTTTCCAGATGAAACTATTTGTGGATATAGATCCAGGCACTCGGCTCTCCCATAGGGGTAGGTTGTAGGATGACCCTCTCTTTATAACATTAGCACAAGATCAATTGAGTATATATTTACTGGGCAATACTTCTCATTGGTTATGTGAGAACTGCATGTGTATCCAGAGAAATCAACACAAATGACTATTCTTGAGACAACTTTTAATTCACAGGAACATTTGGAAATGTGTTTTGTTTCAGATTCAGAATTCTGCATTCCTGAATTTCTGTTGATCCATTTCAAGTCTGGCACAGTTTTGCTGAAATAAAATCAAATATAAAATATGAAGTTGTTTAAGGTGTTTTCCTATGATAAATAGTAATATTCAGAATAATACTTTTGGGTGACAAAAAATAGGCTGAAGCTTAAGTAGCAGAGAAAGGTATAGAATGCACTATTGATTGCAGCAGGTGGTAAACAAGGCCATGCACAGAGTGTTCATATATACTTAAGTTTATATATACTTAAGTTTAGCATAACAACCAGCATAGAGCCTTTTGCAAGTTTAAGTCAAGCATAATTCTTTCAGTAGAGAAAAAGATGTTTTGCTGAATTAAGGTATGCATGCTGAATTAAGGTATGCATTTTGTCTGTAGATTGTGGAGTTTTCAGAGCATCTTTGCCGATTACAGTCTTATAGCATAGGTATCTTGAATAAACAATATCAACAACCAAGAGCATGCACAGACTGCTCACACCCAGGTTTAGCAGGTCAACCAGTACACCCAACCAAATCAACAGATAGTATTTCTTGCATTTTCATCACTTTTGTGTAAATTTAGGCATAAAAGGCCTAAATTCAACTTTATTAAGTTTCAATGAGGGATAAAATAGAAAATATCAGAAAAGGAAAAATGGGGGGAAGAAATTGTAGTGCATATGCATGCTTTCAAACACAATGTTTAATATTATTTCCAACATTTCATTTGCTTTTCTTCTTAAGGGCAGTATACAGTTGTTGTTGTTGTTGTTGTTAGTTGTGAAGTTGTGTCCGACCCATCACGACCCCATGGACAATGTTCCTCCAGGTCTTCCTGTCCTCTACCATCTTCTGGTCTCCATTTAAGCTCACTCCTACTGCTTCAGTGACTCCATCCAGCCACCTCATTCTCTGTACCCTATTCAAATAAAGTTCAGCTTATAGTTAATGGGTGGTTTCTTTTCTAAGAAAAGAATTATGCTCAGAATGGTCAATTTTGTGCTTCTGAGTTTTGTTACTAAGAATAATGGCTCAAGTGCAGAAAAGATATCTGTGTAAGCAAGACAGCTGATGTCAACAAAATGTGTCCTTTGTTTGCTGTGGCTACTGCCCTGATGACTGAAATATAGTTGTTCACTCAGCAATATGCTCAGACAGCAGTGTGATTAATCTGCTTTGAGCTATATCAAGCAGCTATGCCATCATTACAGAAATACAGAATAACATAATTGGAAGGGACTTTGGAGGTCTTCTAGTCCAACCCCCTGCTCAAGCAGGAGAACCAATACCATTCCAGACAAGTGCCTGTCCTGTCTCTTCTTAAAAGCCTCTAGTGATCTAGCACTCCAACTTCTTTTTTTTCTTTTTCTTTTAACAATCTTTTTTATTAATTTTTTTCCATCAACATATGTTAATTTTTCCAATCAACAAGTTGTCTTGAGTTTATTAAGCTAATACATGTTCAATTCCTAATCCTTCATTCTTTTCTCTAACCAAGAATAAAATAAGTTCCAAATTTTATAGTAGTCGTATCTTCTTTGTCTTTCAGCCTCATAGTTAGTCTGTCCATCTCTGCACATTCCAATATTTTCGTGATTATTTCTTCTTCTGATGGCAATCCTTCATTCTTCCAGTATTGTGCAAAAATTATTCTTGCTGCTGTGGTAATATGTAGAATTAAATATAATTTCTGCTTATTAGTCTTTTCAGACATAATGCCTAGTAAAAAAAGTTCAGGTTTAAAATCCACTTGTTCGCCAATATTTTTTCTAACCACATATGTATGCTTTTCCAATAGGCCTTTGCCTTCCCACATGTCCACCAAATATGATAATACATGCCTATGTTATGTTTACATTTCCAACATCTATCTGACATATTTTTAAACATTTTTGCTAATCTTTCTGGTGGAAAGTGCCATCTATAAAACATTTTATACAGATTTTCTTTATATGAAGTTGACATTGTTAACTTCTGAAGGCAAGCCATTCCACTGGTTAATTGTGCTGTCAGGAAATTTCTCCTTAGTTCTAGGTTGCTTCTTTCCTTGATGAGTTTCCATCGTTTCTTCTGGTGCTTTGGAAAATAGGTTGACCCCCTCAAATATTGGAACACTTCTATCATGTCACCCATAATTCTTCTTTTCACTGGACTAGACAAAGCCAATTCCTGCTACTGTTATTCCTGTTTTACTCTCCAGCATCTTTGATGCTCTTTTCTGCACTCTTTCCAGAGTCTACATCTTTTTTATATATGGTTGTAGTATATTCTAAGTGTGGTCTTACTTAGAAAGTGGTATTAATACTTCACGTTATCTTGATTCTATCTCTCTGATAAGCTTTTTTGGCTGCCGATGCACACTGCTGGCTCATATTTAAATGATTGTCCACTAGGACTCCAAGATCTCTCTCATAGTTACTGCTGTTGAACCAGGTTTCACCTAATATGTACCTGTACATTTGTTTTTTCTTGCCTAGGTATAAAATCTTACTTTTCTCTATATTGATTTTGTTAGATAGGGTCCAGTGTTCAGATCTGTTGAGATCCATCTGGATCGTGAGTCTGTCTTCAAATCTGCCAAGATCCTTTTGGATCCTGAGCTTGTCTTCTGGGGTGTTGGCTATTCCTGCCAGTTTGTGTCATCTTCAAATTTGATGAGTTCCCTTCTATTCCTCATCTAAATCATTTATGAAGATGTTGAAGAATAATGGGCCTGAAATGGAGCCTTGGGGTATCCCGCTGCTTCTTCCTTCCATGTTGGTGTACTTCCATTGAGGACTACACATTGAGTATGATTTGTTAGCCGCCACCTCCAGCACTATGTGCTGGGAATCCATATTCAGAAAGTAACAGCTCTTTCTCCTCTAGACCTGTCTTCAATCTCAAATTGCTACTGGAGGAGAGTAAACTGACTGCTTGATGCATCATCAACACCAACACTTCTTCAGCTTGTGCAGGCTGAAGAGCTCCTTCCCAGCATTGGGTCCTTTCTTAGCCTCTCCCATCATGTTACCAGCTGGTGGCACCATTGTTTCATCAGAAAGAAGAGTCAAAGTAATAAAATCAAGGTTCCTTACATCTGTTGTTCCTCCCCTCCCTTGACTTGTCAAACCTTGGCATGCCTTTCCTTTCACCAGTAAAGTTTTCTTTACCTTTGTGACCTCATTGTCCTTGATATAGGTAATTTTAATAGGGGTGGTATAGTTAGGAAAATTTGAGGGAAAATTTTTACAAAATGTTTTATAGGTGGCATTTGGATCCCAAAAAATTGTCTTGTATGTATCCTAACTTACAGCCCAAATGTTGGAGGTGTGGTAGTACTGATGCAACTTACTTTCACGTTTGGTGGACCTGTAAGAAGGTTAAGGCTTTTTGGATAATGATTTGGTGGAACATTCAAAAGATTTTTAAAAAGAAGATAAAGTTTACTCCTCAATTATTTTTATTGGGTATTTTTATGGATTTAGATGTTAATGAAACTATTTTAATGTTGAATTTAATAACTGCAGCAAGGTTACTTGTAGGTTTATATTGGAAGAAGGATTCGCTGCCTACTTTAGAAGAATGGATACTTAAAGTTTCCAATTTAGCAGAAATGGCAAAGATTTCTGCTTATTTAAAGGACCATACACAAGAAAAAATTATCATAGTGTGGAGAAGGTGGATAGATTATATTCAGAATAAATATGGAATTTTAAAGTTTCATTTATTTTATGATTAATTTTTTCTCTCTCTTTTTTTGAAGTAATAATTATTATTTATAGAATTTTATAATATTTGATTTATAGTAGATTTGTTTATTTTATTATTTTTAAAGTTTAAAGGGAGTTAAGGGTTATGCCCCTTTATGGATTACTGCCTTGTCGTGGTGAAGCGGCTTGCGTAACTCAATGAAGCTATAAGCTATGCCGTGCAGGGCCACCCAAGACGGACAGGTTATAGCAGAGAGTTCTGACAAAATGTGATCCACTGGAGAAGGAAATGGCAAACCACTCCAGTATCTTTGCTATGAAAACCCCATGGACAGTACTAAAAGGAAAAAAGATATGACGCTGGAAGATGAGCCCCTCAGGTCGGAAGGTGTCCAATATGCTACTGGGGAAGAGCAGAGGGCTAGTACTAGTAGCGCCAGAAAGAATGAAGCGACTGGGCCAAAGCCGAAAGGACGCTCAGCTGTGGATATATCTGGTGGTGAAAGGAAAGTCCGATGCTGTAAAGATTTTTTCTCCATAGGAACCTGGAATGTAAGATCCATGAATCAAGGCAAGCTAGACGTAGTCAAAAAAGAGATGACAAGACTGAACATCGACATCTTAGGAATCAGCGAACTAAAATGGACAGGAATGGGTGAATTTAACTCAGATGACCATCAGGTATACTACTGTGGGCAAGAATCCCTCAGAAGAAATGGAGTAGCCTTCATAGTCAATAAAAGAATAGGAAAAGCAATACTGGGATACAATCCCCAAAATGACAGAATGATCTCAATTCGAATCCAAGGCAAACCATTCAATATCACAGTAGTCCAAATCTATGCCCCAACCACTGGTGCTGAAGAGGATGAAATTGACCGGTTCTATGAAGCCCTACAGCACCTTATAGAATTAACACCAAAAAATGATGTCCTTATCATCATGGGGGATTGGAATGCTAAGGTAGGAAGCCAAAAGATAACCGGAATAACAGGCAAGTTTGGCCTTGGAGTACAAAATGAAGCAGGGCACAGGCTAATAGAATTTTGTCAAGAGAATACGATGGTCATAACAAACACTCTTTTCCAACAACCCAAGAGACGGCTCTACACATGGACATCACCAGACGGTCAACATAGAAATCAGATTGACTATGTACTCTGCAGCCAAAGATGGAGAAGCTCTATACAGTCAGTAAAAACAAGACCAGGAGCTGACTGTGGCTCAGATCATGAGCTTCTCGTTGCAAAATTTAGGCTTAAATTGAAAAAAGTAGGGAAAAGCACTAGGCCACTCAGGTATGAACTAAATCATATTCCTGATGAATATACAGTAGAGGTGACAAATAGATTTAAGGAACTGGATCTGATAGACAGAATGCCTGAAGAACTATGGATGGAAGTTCGCAACATTGTACAAGAGGTAGCAACTAAAACCATCCCAAAGAAAAAGAAATGCAAGAAAGCAAAATGGCTGTCTCAGGAAGCTTTGCAAATAGCTGAGGAAAGAAGGGAAGCGAAAGGCAAAGGAGAAAGAGAAAGATACACCCAATTGAATGCAGAATTCCAGAGAGTAGCTAGAAGAGATAAGAATGCCTTCTTAAATGAACAGTGCAAAGAAATAGAAGAAAACAACAGAATAGGGAGGACCAGAGATCTCTTCAAGAAAATTGGAGATATGAAGGGAACGTTTCATGCAAAGATGGGCATGATAAAGGACCAAAATGGCAGAGACCTAACAGAGGCAGAAGAGATTAAGAAGAGATGGCAAAACTACACAGAAGAACTATACAAGAATGAGCTTAACATCCCAGATAACCACAATGAGATGGTCATTGACCTCGAACCAGACATCCTAGAATGTGAAGTGAAATGGGCCTTAGAAAATCTGAGCAACAACAAAGCTAGTGGAGGTGACAGTATTCCAGCTGAGCTATTCAAAATCTTAAAAGAAGATGCAGTAAAAGTGCTACACTCAATTTGCCAGCAAATTTGGAAAACTCAACAGTGGCCACAGGATTGGAAAAGGTCAGTTTACATTCCAATTCCAAAGAAAGGCAATGCCAAAGAATGTTCAAACTATCGCACCATTGCACTCATTTCACATGCTAGTAAAGTTATCCTTAAAATCCTACAAGCTAGACTCCAGCAGTATGTGGATCGAGAACTACCAGAAGTACAGGCAGGATTTCGAAGAGGCAGAGGAACTAGAGATCAAATTGCCAACATACGCTGGATCATGGAGAAAGCTAGGGAGTTCCAGAAAAACATCTACTTCTGCTTCATTGACTATGCAAAAGCCTTTGATTGTGTGGATCACAACAAATTGTGGCAAGTTCTTAAAGAGATGGGAGTACCAGACCATCTCATTTGTCTCTTGAGAAACCTATATGCGGGTCAAGAAGCAACAGTGAGAACCGAACACGGAACCACTGATTGGTTCAAAATTGGAAAAGGAGTCCGGCAAGGCTGTATACTGTCGCCCTGCCTATTTAACTTATATGCAGAGCACATCATGAGAAAGGCAGGGCTAGATGAATCAAAAGTTGGAATTAAGATTGCCGGGAGAAATATCAACAACCTAAGATATGCAGATGATACCACTCTAATGGCAGAAAGTGAAGAGGAACTAAAGAGCCTCTTGATGCGGGTGAAGAAGGAGAGTGCAAAAGTTGGCTTGAAACTCAACATTAAGAAAACCAAAATCATGGCATCCGGCCCTCTCAATTCCTGGCAAATAGATGGGGAAGAAATGGAGGTAGTGACAGATTTTATTTTTCTGGGCTCCAAGATCACCTCAGATGGGGACTGCAGCCAAGAAATTAAAAGACGCTTGCTCCTGGGGAGGAAAGCTATGGCAAATCTAGACAGCATTCTAAAAAGCAGAGACATCACCCTGCCAACAAAAGTGCGCATAGTCCAGGCCATGATTTTCCCAGTTGCAATGTATGGCTGTGAAAGTTGGACCATAAGAAAGGCTGAGCGCAAAAGAATTGAGGCCTTTGAACTATGGTGCTGGAGAAGACTCCTGCGAGTCCCTTGGACTGCAAGGCGTTCAAACCGGTCAGTCCTAGAAGAGATCAACCCCGACTGCTCTTTAGAAGGCCAGATCCTGAAGTTGAAACTCAAGTACTTTGGCCACCTAATGAGAAGGAAGGACTCACTGGAGAAGAGCCTAATGCTGGGAAAGATTGAGGGCAATAGAAGAAGGGGACGACAGAGAATGAGATGGCTGGATGGAGTCACTGAAGCAGTAGTGTGAATTTAAATGGACTCCAGAAGATGGTAGAGGACAGGAAGACCTGGAGGAATGTTGTCCATGGGGTCGTGATGGGTCGGACACGACTTCTCAATTAACAACAACAACAAGGGTTATGTATGAATTTGTTTATTGTATAATTTTTTTTTTGTTTTAAAAGTTATAGATTGTGTTTATTTTGTTTACAATAACCCTGTATTTTGCTCCGGGAAGCGGGGGGGGGTAGGGTGGGAGGGGATGGGTAGGATTAAGTAGGTTAGTTATATAGAAATATTAATGTATAAAATAGATAGAGTATTTTAGAGGGAGGTGCCGCTTGGGTATTTCCCCTGAACTGTATCCGAAGAGGATAAGAGGGGAGGAGGAAGGATGGAAGGAAGTTGGTTGGGAGGAAGGGATGAGGGGAGAGATGAGAGGAGGGGAGAGAGGGAGTAGGGAAGTAAGGAAGGAAGGTTGAGAGGGCAGATGCAGTCGGGGGGGAGGAGATAGACGAGCGACACCTAAGGTTCTATTTTAAAGGTATTTTTCTCTTTTATTTATTTTTCTTATATAATGTATGGAAAGTATTATATGTATTGAAAATTTAAATATTTTTTTTTCAAATATATATATATATATATATATATATATACATATATATTAATTGGTAGAATTAAAAATAAACAAGCAGATCTTACTGAAAGAGCTTTGAGGGGGTGAGTGAAAGTGGTAACTGAAGCACAAAAAGGGACTAGTTTAAAAAAGGGAACAGAAGAATGTGCGGAATTCTTTTTATCTGGCCTGCAGTTCTGTGAATTTCTGTGGCTGAGCATGAACCTGAATCTTATCTCTTCAATCCTAGTCTAAGACTAAAACCATTACATCATAGTAGCTCACTTGTCATATGAGGGCTTAAACATAGTGTGTTTAGGCTGTACTATGAATGTACTGTAGCCGTGTACTATTTTTTTTCTGTTGTCATTCACCTATTTCATGTTTCTTTATTGTCTGCAGTTCTCTGAGATATCAGTAAACAAGGCAGGGATTTAGAGCAGATCTTATCACAGTACATTACATTTGTCAAGCCAACCTTCGAAGAATTCTGCTTACCTGTGACTAAAAAGTTTTTCCCTTTCCTGGCAGGGGAACTGGAGGTTTAGAGAAGAAGAAGAAGAACCCTGGTGGAACACTCGGTAGATAGAAGTAGCAGTATTTCTGGAAGTCCTCTTATGGACTTCATCTGCTCTTATAATGGCTGGCACAGACACTAGTAGAAATGAAAGTGCAAAAATGGGGATGTCTAACTCCACTTACAGTTTAAGGGGAGAAACCCATCAACCCATCTTCTCCCAGAGAAATTTCCTCTCTACAGTTCCTCTAACATGATTTTCTCTTTTCTGGCAGACCAAGAAATATGCTGATGTAATTATCCCTAGAGGTATGGATAATCTTGGTGAGTATGGGATAAGGTGAATGGAGAGTTGGATAATGGAAAATTGGAGGCATTCTATAAGAAAATGATTTGTCTCTGTCATTCTATGTTAATAAACCTCTAGATATGTAAAAAAAGAAAAGAACTGAGTAGACATGGCACTTTAATGTATTATATACATAGGTAAAGAATTTTTTTAAAAAAAGTTAATACAGGTACTCCTTGACTTCAGTGACTGTTCAAACAAATGATGGTTATAATTGATCCTTGGAATTCTGGCTGTCCTAGCTCTTCTGGGGTCATTCAGTCTGGATGCTTGGCAATGCACTTACAACTGGTTGCAGCATCTTACAATTGCATGATCACCATTTCCAGCCAGCTTTCCCAGATATTCAGTGGGGAAACCAGCAGAGAAGATTGCAAGTTACTGGAGTAAGTTTCCACCACTCTGCAGTTTCCCCCAGTGTGTCTATGCTCATGCCCTGATGAGTCACTCATGCACTCTGTGCATCATCCTGTCAGCACTTCCAGTAAACCAGATAAAAATGCAACTAGATGGGCTAATTTTATTTTATTGTAAGGCTACATTAACATAATCTTGCAAGTCTGAAGGTACAAATCTCCCATTGCCACTTTTAACTGCCTGATCAATTAGGGCGGGTCTTTCTTAAGTTTCTTCCTCTGATTGTTAAGCCATTGGGGGTTCTCCCCCCTTATCTGCTTGTTTCCTAGGCTGCATCTCTCCCCCTCATCACTCAAGGTTATTCTCATCTCCAGACCCTCACCACAACTCCCATGCATCCTTGTGCACATTCTCCAATCCTTGCCACATATCTCTTGCACAACCTCACTGCAGAATGGGACAACTCAATGTAGGACAATCCAACAAATACAAAATTTAAATTTCAACAGAACCATGACCAATAATAATAAAATGAAGTCAATACAGAAATACAAGAGTTATAATAATTTTGATGAAAACGTGGTCACCAATAATAAAAGTAACTGAATGAAACAATTAATACAGCGTTGAATTGTCCTGTGGCGAGTAGTCCTGCAGTGAGTTGGCCATGGTAAGTTGTCCTGCAGCAGGTTGGCTGTGGGGAGTTGGCTACAGTGCGTTGGGCATAGTGAGTTGTCCTGTCTGACCCTGGCCACATCTCCCACATCCCTCTTTGCATGCTAGTTCGAACAATCCTCAAGTCAGAAAATCTGGGTCCCTCTAAAAGTACACTTTTTCCAAAAATAAAATTGCTTAGTTCATTGTTATTTTTCATATCTATAATTTAGGGTATATTTTAATAACTTAAACATCTAAAAATACCTTGTGCCAATCAAGACTTTATCTCGCCACTGATAGGTCCCTCACAAGTTCAGAACCACTGTTTTATTGTATAGATTTATAACAGACCTGGGCATTTTATGGTCCGCCGGCCCCCAGGCACATCCAGCCCTGTCTCTGTCCAGCCTGAATGAAGTCTATCAGAACTTAGAAACCAAATGTAAATAAGCATGCTGCAGGGGTGGGGAAAGAAGCTGAGTTGGATCCAGCTCTGAGCAGTCATTGTGTACTCTTTCAGTCAGTTGGATGTTGTGGGAGGGTGAGGAGAGAAAGTGTTTTTCTATGCCTGTGCAGTGCTCACTTCTTGCCTGGAGCAGCCTGAGCTGGTGGCAATCATTGTATGAGGGGACACAGGCTCAGCCACCCATCACTGCTCAGTCAAAGTGCAGCTTTGCAGGCGAGTGGGTGGAATGCAGTTGCAAGCTATTGGTTTGGCTCTCCACAGCAGTCCCAGTTCCTCAAGTGGCCCCTTGGGAAAATTCATTGCCCACCCCTAATCTATAATGAAGCAGGATGATAGTGTTAAATCTATTAGATTTGTGCCCAACCAGTTCTTCCCCCGCCCCCAGGGTCAGGGCTTTACCCAGTGCCCAGCAATATTTCTCTGTGGAACCTTAATTAGCATCCATGACTAACAATGGAGGTGTCAGAGACAAGATTTGGAAAAATGGCTTTGATTGCAGATCCTCAAAATCTTAGTAATAAAGCTCAACTAAGGTACATATAACAGTCTCTGCAGCAGTCCAGATTACTATACACATCACCCAGAGTTTAAAGATTTTGCTTCTGACTATCAATTTCAGCCATCAGTTTGATTGTGCAGCACATCCAAGACATCTTGAATGCCAACTCAATGGGTACCTGTATGATTATATTCCTCCCTGCCAGTAACAGCCCTCAGAATCCAGCAGCCGCCCATATTGATCTCAGAGCAAGATAAAGGCCTGCACTGCTATGCCCCATAGTTGCATTCTCTGAGTCCTTGCTCCTTCCCCTAATTGCAGTGCTTCATGGCTTATTAAAGTTTAAATTATGGTTGCCTGCAATGGTTTTGCTCCAGCCTTTTCATGGAGGAATGGCAATATGTTTCTATATGGTACTACAAATAGTTTCTGATATGTAGTATCAGTTAGTATAGCTGCCATGATGGTGAGATTATATCTTTTTTTTCAATTTTTTATAGTCACAAAATATTTTATCAGCACCATATTATCTGGGTTCCAGTGTTTAGTGTGTCCAAAGTAATTTTATAATCGTCTCTATTTTCCGCCAAAATATTCTGGGAGAAGGGGTAAAAAAGAAAAAAAAACCTTTAGTTCTGGGAGTTCTTCGCTTTTGGGTCTCTTCCCCCCCCCCCCAAGAACAGGCTTTACAATCGTACAGGAAGCAAAATAGTGTCCCTCAGATCAGACATGTTGCTCACGATTGTTAGATGCTTTCCTCTCCGGCAGACAGCAGCTTTCTCCTGTTGGTCCTGAGGGCTTCCTGGGATCAAGGAAGCCCTCAGTGCAAATGAAAAAGATTAAATGTAAAGAAATAATCAAATAGAATAAATGCAACCCCAATTTAAATCTGTTTATGTTACAATCCAGAGCACAATGAGTGTTCATTTCCTGATATAACACAAATACAGAATTGGATATGAAATTACATAAATTATGGCTTGGCAGGGCTGCTTTTCTATGTAAATACAGAGACAAGAGACAATGATGGAGTGTAGGTTCTAATTTGAAAGTCAAACTCCAGAGGTGCTATCTACTGACCCCATGTGCAAAGCTGCTCAGAAACTATTTACTTATTTTTCTCCTACAATGGAAGTATTTGGAAAGAAAATCCCAAATAACTTCTCTGCTGGAGGCTAGAACTTGTGCTGCAGAGGCATAGATGTGATAGGCGTATGCAAAAGGAAATCAAGCTTTGGAAGAACTTTAAACACAATTCTACATATGGAACAAAATTATGGATTTTCATTCTGTACACTAGTGCAATATATTTTTCTGAGGACACAGTCACTTGAAACTTCAGCTTATTTGACTAAAATAAAAGTTAGGATGACAAAATCTGCCATCGAGGTGAGCAGGTTAGTGAATCCAAACCATAAGTTAAAAGTATGATTCAACAAAATGTGCCAAAGGAGATGAATAGAGACAGAGAGCAGGGATTTGGTAGTGTACTTTAACAAAAGTAATGTTATGGAAAAGAAGGAAGGGTTCAGGTAAGTTGTAATTGGATGGACAGTGTGTAGTCAGTTGTAAAGACTCTCAAGCTCATTTCCTGAATAGGTGCTGATTGCTAGAAAATTTGTCCTCAAAGTTTCCTACTGCCTGTTGAGAGAACTGAGTGACTATTTCCTTCCTGAGTAACTATTTCTCAAAGGAGTTCTCCTTTATCCTGCTGAATAAAGAGATTACAGGTAGTCTTCTACTTATGACCACAAATTGACCCCCAAATTTCCATCACTAAGTAAGATAGTTATTAAGTGAGTTATGCTCCCTTTTTACCACAGTTGTTAAACAAATCACTGCAGTTTTTAAGTGAATCATGCAATTGTTAAGCAAATCTGGCTTCCCCCACTGACTTTGTTGGAAGTCAGCTAGAAGATTATTAATGGTGTTCACATGACCCCTGGACAGTACAACTCTCATAAATACATGCCAGTTGTCAACCTCCCAGATTTGAATCACATGACCATGGAAATGCTGCAATAGTTGCAAGTGTGAAAACTGGTCACAAGTCACTTCTTACAGTGCTATTGTAACTTTAAATAGTCACTAAACAAATGGTTGTAAGTCAAGAACTATCTGTATAGGAAACACTTGAAAAAAAGTTAAAGGATCAGAGCAGCAAGTGAATGCACCTCACCTGATGACAAAGATTTGTTAATCCAATAAAGGAAATTGTAATGGCTGATAGTAGAAGAAGCAATTTAGTATAACAAGACAATCAAGATCAATGTACAAGAATGACAACAATAAGCAAATGAGGCAGAAGTTATTTTGCACTGCCAGAAATGAGAAACAGGTTTTATAGTCACACAAAAGACATAGATTTTCAACCTTTTGGTAGAAAAAGAGATACTCTAATCTGGTGGGATGACATCCATGTTTACAACATTTTATTCAAAAGGATCAAAAGTAATAGAAAGAGAGAGGATTGTACTGTATATTAAAAGTTTTCAGGTGTGTACAGAAAACCAAGTGAATGAATTTAACAGAACTGTTAAAATAAATGGAAATACAAATAAAAGCAATAGTTTTTGGTGTTCATTTATCGCCTGCCCAACCAAAGAGAAGTGCCTTCCAAATGTAAGTTCAAAAAAGAATGAAGTAGTTGTGGACTTTAGTTATCCTGACATAAAATCTGAGACAAAGGAATAGTTCTGCCAGGAATATCCTCACTGCCCTAGGAAAATGACACTTTTCAATTATAAACATGCAACAAAGACAGGTGTTCAGAGCTTTAAAAAGGCTAGTAAGAGTTGGTGACATCCATATTTTCAGGGGAATGATGTTCTACAAGGCAGGCACTGATACAGAAAAGACATAATTCATAATTCACCCCTATGCTATGCAACATTAACCAGTACAGAAGATTTAAGTGATGAAGTAGAAAAAGCAGGAGTAAGTGAAGGGAAACTTAAGGGGATTGGGGTAAGTAAAGGGAAACTAAACTATAAAGAAAATTAAAGCTGAGTGTAGTCAAGCATGTATCTTGAATTTCAAGAAAGTACATATGAATAAACGCAGTAATTATGAACAGGTTCCCACAGCTGAGAAAACTAATGGGAAATTAAGCACAAGATGATTCTCCTAAAAACGAGAACCTCAAAACACAATTGCAAAAAATAATTGGGAGCAGGGGGGAATGGAGACTAGTAACATAGCAATAGCACCTAGACTTATATAATGCTCCAGAGTGCTTTACAGAATCAACATACTGCCCCCAACAATCTGGGTCCTCATTTTACCAACTTTGGAATGATGGAAGGCTGTGTCAACCTTGACTCTGTAGTTACAAAAAAAAAACATTCTTCTAACAATATAAAATATGAAAAAAAAGTTACCTGGGGTTTAGACACCAAGAAAATATAGTCTTTGACTTACGACCACAACTGGGACCAGAATTTCAGTTGCTACATGATGCAGTTAATAAATCATCATGTGACTGGATCCAAATTTATGATTTTTAACACTGTCATTAAGCAAATTACCAAAGTTATTAAGTGAATCACGTGGTCATTGAAGGAATCTGACTTCCTCATTGACTTTGCTTGTCAGAAGCCAGAAAGTTGCAAATCACAATCACATGACCACAAGATGCTACAACTGTTGCAAATGCAAGTAGATGGCCAAGCATCCAAATTGTGATCACATGGCCATAGGGGAGGTTGGTGGTAACTTTGAGGATAAGCAGCAAGCCACTTTTTCTGAAGCCCTCATAACTTCAAACTGTTCTTAATAGTTCTAAATCGAGGACTACTTCTATAGGCAGATGGACTGGAATTCTAGAGGTGCCAGCAAAGCTAAAATGAACTGAGGTTTACAAAGGAATTAAATGTTCAGATTAAGAGACAAGAATCATATTGGTTTCTCAGTCATGAGGAAAAATGCTAATAAATAACAAAAATCTCTTTCTGCTTTGATTTTGGTTTCTTTTACAGAAAGGTAGGTGTTCAACAACAACAGAATAAAGCAAAATTAAATTTTAAAAGCTATAGGTATTTGCTGACTACGTTTCTATTTTCTTTGAGTAAACTCCAGGACTAGGATTAAATTCTAAGGTTCTGAAGGAAGTTTCTGATAGCCTGATCAAAACGTTTATGCATATTATTTTTGAGAAATTCTGGAGAAAGTATGAAGAACCTGATGACTGGAGGAAACCCAGTGTTAATTGTATTGTGGAAAAGAGAGGAGTTGGAGAACTTGAGTCACTCTGAAATCAGTACTTGAGAAGATTCTAGGAAGGTTTATAAGGAATCTGGTTTATAAAGCTATGAGACTGAGCAGAATACTACAAAGTTCCTTCCTGGGCCCTAACTTCTCACATTTTTATTAAAGTCAAGATTGTACAACAAATGCTTATCAAATCCAAGATGACACAAGGGATATTCAATATTGTAAACAACTTTCAAAATAGTTTCAGTAGAGAATTGGGTGAAAGTAACAGAATGAAATATATTTGGGGCAAATGTGAAGTTCTTCATTTAGAAAACAAAAAGCAATGCACATACATATGGACCAAGTTGTCTTAGGGAGTAGTAATATGGTGGTCACAGAAGATAGATTTGCTATGGGCAGACCATTAGTTGCTGAGGTTTGAACTTAAAATATCAATAAACCAGAATAGAGCTGGAAGGGATCTTGGAGGTCTCCTAGTTCAAACCCCTGCTTAAGGAGACCCTATGCCATTTCAGATACAGTAAGTGATTGTCCAGTCTCTTCTTAAAAACCTCCAGTGATGAAGCACCCACTTCTGAAGGCAACCTGTTAGGAAATGCAGAGATAAAGGATAGGGGAAACTTGACTTAATAACAGCACTTGTGGGAGAAATCTTGAGATAGTAGTTTACAGAATATGAATCAACAGAGTGATATACCTGCTATCAAGGCAAATGCAATATTAAACTGCATCAATCAAAGTATGATTTACAGAATCGATATAATAGCAATCTTCAAATACTCTGAAAGAATTCCACGCAGATGAAGCTTAAGTCTTTCTATCATCCTAGAATACAGAACACAAAGTTGTGAGTTTAATTTAAGGAATATGGCAAATTCTGATTGAGTACTAAAAAAAAATCCTAATAGGGCAATTGAAGAATGGGACCAATTATTCAGAAAACAAGTAGAAACAATTTCAATAAGGATATGTTTAGGCAGAGGCCAGACTGTCTGGGAATCTAATTTGGATGTGTGTACTATGTAAGAGATTGACTACAATGAACCTTCCAGTTCTGTGATTCTCTACTTATCCTGTTAGGCAGGCAAATAAGGTTAGAAATGTGGGTAAAAGGAATATATTTGTCATTATATATTAAATGTATGATTTAATTTATCAGAAAATGGAAAAAAGGATAAAGGGACCGGCTCTTCTAGGGATTAATTTTGATAAGTAGGGAAGAACTATATGCTGATGTAAAAATAACAGTAATGTTGGAGGAAGGTAACTGATTTTGAAAGCTGTTATAGTTAGAAAACTGAAATTAGTGTAAACTTTCTGAAATTTAGGAAAATTGCTATCAAAACTTCAGAAAAAAATCAAAAAAATCTTATAATTAGACATTTTGAGGGAAGGAGGAAAGGAGTACAAACAAGATGAATGATTCTGAAAACTGAAGGAATAAAGGGATAAAAGGGAGACTGTTTGGTCTATTGGTTAAGAAATCAGGCTAGAAAGTGGGAGACCTGAGTTCACGTCCTGTCATGAAAGCTAGCTGGGTGATTTTGGAGCAGTCATTCTATCTCATCTCAACCCACCTCACAGGGTTGTTGTGGGGAAAATAGATGGAAGGTTTGTGGGATATATTCACCATCTTGAATTAAAGGTGGGATACAAATAAATAAATAAATAAAAACCTTTACAAATAAGGAGAAAATGGAATATCTAAAGGATTTAGCCTGGCTGCTTAGGAAGTTCTTTAATAAGATAAGACTTAAAGAATGTATAAGAAATTTAATCTTATAATTGGTGAAAAGTGCAATAGAGAATCAAACATTCAATCCAAAACAAGCCATATTTGTAAGGGTTACTAAAAACAATTTAAATTTTCTCCTGCTAAATTAGAGACAAGAAAATAAATGGGTGTAACTTATCTGTATCATGAAATATTGACAGAAGTATTTCTTCTCACTCACCTGATGTGTTTAACAAAGGCTGGACTGCTACCATCTGAGGATTATTTAATTTACACCGATCAGAGAGTTGGATTTGATGTCCTACATAATCCTTTTTGGTTGTGAGTCTTTTTCTACTCTAGAGAATGCAGAACTTGTAGCATATTAGCATGTAATAAACCTGCAATCATTTGAACTGACTTGCTTCCTTATTTCTTGTGTCTGACAACTATTTGTTCCTATTTTGCCTCTGTTCTCTTCCACAAGTTGTTCAACCTGAGACAAGGAAAACAAATGGTGTAAGAAAAATAATGCAGCCCAGTATAAGCAAGATGTTTAAAGCTATGTATGATAAACTATGAATGAGTGGATGTCTCTGGGGTAATATAAATTAAACCCTCAAATGCTTAAGGAATTTGTGGAAGCTATTTCAAAATCTTTTAATGTAATTTCTTATAAATCTTGAATAATATGTATATTATTGATGTTCAGAGTTCTTATATTCTGCTAATATAACAGGGCTCATGTAAATGTAGAAGTTGGGGTAATAAAATTCTATAGGGAAACATAACTCCCAGAGGATTTGATCCTACTGATAAACCCTTGGAATGGAGGTATGTCACACATAGAAGGAAACACAATAATCAAAGAAAGAAACAGCAGACATCTAACAAACCCCTGCTGCCCAATCCAACTCAACCAGAAGCAACCCCATTAAAACTGAGCAATCTATTTCTCCCCTTAGATGGAAATGCACAGACCCTCAACCTCCCCCTCAAAGAAAACATGCAGACATCTAGCAAAGAAACAACACCAAATATGCCTAAAAGAGTCGTTGTCAACAAACACACCTGAAATAAACAGAAAGGCACCCCAGACTGCACCCCCCAAAAAAGGAAGGTGAGTGTTGGTAATAGATTATATCCTCAAAGGAACAGAATCAGCCATCTGCAGACTGAACCTAATCAAAATAATTAGATCCACAGATTACTACCCCTTCCTCCTCCTCCACATTGGGACTAAGGACACAACAAAGAACCTGACTACAATAATGAGAGATTACAAACAACTAGGCAATAAAGTTAAGAAGCTAGGTGCACAAGTAGTGTTCTCATCAGTACTCCCAATGAAAGGCCAACCCCCATTGAGGGAAAAAAGAATTCTAGAAATAAACCACTGGCTAAAGGGTTGTTGCCGCCAAGAAAACTTTGGTTTTCTGGATCATGAACTGCATTTCCTACGCGAAGGACTCTTGGCAAGGGATGGGCTGCACCTCACAAAAACAGGGAAAAATGTATTCGGAAAAAGACTGGCACAACTCATCAGGAGGGCTTTAAACTAAAATCGAGGGAGAAGAGTGACCAATCTCTAGAATCTCTAGACCCCAAAACCAATCACAAATCCCAAGAAAACAAATCAAACAATGAGATAGGCAGTGATGAGAAAAGTGAAAAACTCAAACAACAATCAGGAGATGCAGGAAACATACCCATAGGCAGGCATAAAAGTCTTAAATGCTTATATACAAATGCTCAAAGCTTGGGGAACAAACAGGGTGAACTAGAAGCAATAGTACACGAGGGAGGGTATGACATAGTTGGCATTACAGAAACCTGGTGAGATGAAACCCATGAATGGAATGGACTGATGGATGGATACAAATTGTTCAAAAGAAACAGAACTACAAAAAGAGGAGGGGGAGTTGCACTATATGTAAGAAAACACTACATATCTACAGAAATGCATATAATCAAAGATAAAATCTCTCTAGAATGTATATGGATCAATATAAAAAAGAAAAAAGTGACATTGGCATAAGTGTATATTATAGGCCACCTAACCAATCAGAAGAAATAGATGAACTCTTTGCCAACCAGGTAACAAAAGTATGTAGGAAGCATACCACAGTAGTACTGGGAGACTTAAACTTTCTAGATATCAACTGGGAGGCAAACTCTGCAGTGAGCAGGAGATAAACAGATTCCTAGCCAACCTAGCTGACAACTTTGTCACCCAAAAGGTGGAGGTGAGAACTAGATGTAAAGCTATACTGGACTTAATCCTTACTAATAGAGAAGAAGTGACAGAGGGAATTGAAATTGCCAGAAATTGCCTTGGGTGAAAGTGACCATGTCATACTGGAATTTAATATAATGCAAACACTAGCAATAGAAAACAACCCAGCCGGTGTCTTAAACTTCAAAAGAGCTGACTTCAATAATTTCAGAGAGAACCTAGAAAAGATCCCATGGACAAAAATCCTAAAAGGGAAAACAACCCAAGATGCATGGGAAACCCTGAAAAACACGATCATAAAAGCCCAGACCAGCACAATACCACTGAAAAAGAAAAACAAAAAAATCAAGAAGAAACCAGCATGGCTACACAAAGAGCTCTCTGACAAACTGACAAAAATACAAAAAAATGGAAATAGGGGTACATAACTAAAGCTGATTATCAGTAGACAGCCGGAACATGCAGAAATGAAGTCAGGAAAGCAAAAGCTCAGAACAAACAAAGACTTGCAACAGAAATCAAGGATAATAAAAAAAAAGTTTCTTCCAACACATTAACAACAAAAAAAGTCAAGGAAACTATAGGTCCATTAAAGAGAGATGATGGCAAGGAAATAACAGGCAACAGGGAGAAAGCAGAACTGCTTAACTCATATTTTGCATCATTCTTCACACAAAAAGAAACCATAGCCTAACATACCAAAAAAAGACAAACTAGAAACAAAATTTAAAATAAGCAAGAAAATGAGAGAACACCAAAAAAGCTAATACAATCCTGGGTTGTATAAACAGAAACATAGAATCAAGATCATGCAAAGTATTAATACCACTTTATAAAACCTTAGTAAGACCACACCTGGAATACTGCAACAAATTTTGGTCACCATATCACAAAAATGATGTTGAGAGTTTGGAAAAAATTCAGAGAAAAGCAACTAAGATGATCAAAGGCCTGGAGACTAAAACATACGAAAAACAGCTACGGGACTTGGGTTTGGCTAGTCTAAAGAAAATAAGAAATAGAGGAGACATGATAGTAGTATTCCAGTATTTGAGGGGCTACTGCAAAGAAGAGGGGGTCACGTTATTCACCAAAGCACCAGAGGATGAGAAATAATGGTTGGAAAGTGATCAAAGAGAGGAGCAACCTGGAATTAAGGAGAAACTTCCTGACAATGAGGACAATTAACTAGTGGAACAGCTTGCCTCCAGAAATTGTGGACGCTCCATCACTGGAGATTTTAAAGAAGAGACTAGACAGTCACTTGTCTGAGATGGTACAGGTACTCTTGCTTGAGCAGGGGGCTGGACTAGATGACCTCCAAGGTCTCTTCCAGCTCTATTCTATTCTAAATGGCAACAATGTGGTCATTCTATGATATGCATTTTATAGTGAGGCAGATCAATATCAAAATGAGGTCAAAACCAATGCTAATGTAAAGAAGAAGGAACTGCATTTAAGCTTTTAAGAAGGGCAGCCAAACTGTAGTCCTAATGCACTTGGAAGGTGTTCTCCCCAAAATATAGAATTTAGGATAGAATTATTGCAAAAGCAAAGTCCATTGTCAAGAAAACTGCTGAGGTTTTAGAAGAATAATCCAAATCTCTCATATCCAGTCTAGATAGATAGATGGATGGATGGATGGATGGATGGATGGATGGATGGATGGACGGACAGACGGACCGTCAGATGAGAGAGATGATAGGTAAGATAGATAGTGAGAGGTATAAATGCCCAATATTTAGAGCATTGTACACTCAGATATGGAAAATAAAACAACCCATAAGACTCTCTTTGAAAAATCTAATCCTTATATACCTGAAGAATACTTTCCAATACTATTTGCTCATTCTTATATATTCTGCAAACATTCCTGAAATGATATTCATTTTATGAAACTTTATCCAGTATTTCTTAGTTATACATCCCATATATGAAAATTAAATAGAAAGTAAAAACACAAGATTTTTTTGGAGGGGGGGACTTTAAATTTTGGAGCTTTCTATAGGACCATCTTTGCTGTTAAAGCTCTTAATATGGGATGAAAAAGCAAAGCTGGAACTATAGTTAATTATTTATTCTTTTTCTCCAAGATTCCCAGAACAATTATATAGAAAGTAGCTAAAATATATAGAAATAAGCTAAAAGCACATCTTTGAAGATCTTATAAGCTAAAATTCATAACTACATTATTTTCTTTTTTAGATATGATCATCACATTAAATAGAGTTGGGACAAATCAATGACCCTAATGAATTTTCAAAAAATGCAAGAGAATGTAAATACCCATTAACTTTTCATTTTCATTATTTAATCTAAAACTATGTATTTCTTCTCAAATATGAGGAGATAAAATACATAAAATACATTTAAGTTGGGAAGAACTATCTTGGGAAGTTTCCCACTATTCAAATGGGAGCCCTTGAATAATGTCTACCCTTGCAAAATGATATCTGGGTTTTTTTTGCTCATGTTACAAAGTAATGCTTTTGTTCCAAGGTGTTCCTTGAATGCCCCTTTCCCTCCACCCACAAGCAAAAATGTCACAGCCCAGCAGAGATTTGAGACACACTGGATTTCCAAAGTCTTCTTTTTTATCCATATTTAGTAACAGTTGAGATCATTTTGTTTTACAGTGCTGATAGTGAACTGGATTGCACCTAACTTTCTGAACATCTGAACACTTTCCATCTCAAATGTAATTATTTCTCCCCTCTCTCCAAAAAAAGAAAATTGAAAAAACATGCTGTGTGCATCCATTAAGTTTGTATAAAAAGCAGAGTTAGAGATGGTATATGAAAACAAAAGCATTTCTTAAATACTTAGGATGTTGCCAGTTATTTACCTTGGATTTCACCAATAGCTTGGTAAAACTCTATGGCAAAGTTCCTACACTTACAATTACTTGAACACATTGAAAAACATGCAAAAAGTCTTAATTTTGTTAATCCAAATAATTAGCCCCAGAAAGAAGTTGTTTAGATGAAGGTCCTGATTTCCAAAATTCAGCACTATGGATAGTTCCTTGTGGGCAGAGCTGCTCTTTTTATACTGATGAGATTAAACTGACAGTATTTTCTTTTTGTAAACATTCTCTTCATTTCAATGAGCAGACCGATCATTTTTATTATCAATTAAAATGCATAGCTATAATGTGGTAATATGCCATCCCTTCCTGTCCTAAACCAGCAGAAATCAAGCAACATAATAGGAGTCCATAAATATCTCATAAGAACAGTCTTTATAATCACATTTAATTGGTTGGGAAGCAGCATTAGCCACAGGCACTGGAAATTATATTCATGTTCATTATATTTCAAGGTTAAGAATAGAAACCTTCTTCATGAGAATGCCCCTGAAGTGTGGAATAACATTTCTTCTTCCAAAGTCCAGAAATTCAACTATTCTACAGCGGCACATAATTGGCCCTTGCCACATAACACTATATTGAAGAAGCCCCCTTCACACTTGCAATAACAAAAGTCAGGTGAACCTGAAAGGTCTTCTTTGGCTCAGATATCCATTCTAGAGCGGCAAAAGTCCTCATTTAAATCATTTTCTATTTTGGTGGTATCACTATCAAAGGCAGACCTCTCTTTGGCCTCCACATAAGGACCTGGGCATCATTGGCATTGGGTTTCACTAGTGCATTTGGTGGGATGGGTTCCATTCTGCTCAAAATCTTAGGCTGCTCCTGTTGAATTTTCCCCACCAGGCGGGCTCGCTTGCCCAAGAGCTGCATGGGATCAACTTCAATGTCTACTCTCATCCTCCATTTTATAGTCTGCAAGATTATTTTTTCCTTAGTAGTCATATTCATGGCCACTAACCATGTAGTAAAACTTTGATCCCGTTTGATCCTAGTCAATAGTGGCACATTGCTATCACTCACAGGGACAGCCCATGTCACACTAGGATAAAAATTGTCATTCATACTGACTGAAAACCTGGAAACCTTATTGGTAGGACCAATCAGGGTAACTGTTTCTGTAGTGTTCCCATACCAGGGATAGCTCACTCCATCAGAGTCACTGATGGCTTTTACACGTCCTTCTCTCAAGTCTGGAAGTTCCCAGCTTGACCTAGAAAGAGCAGAAGAGAAACATACACTAAGAAAGATTTAGCAACAGTTACTAAAAAGTCACAGCTTGCTAGTCTCTTATTCAGATTTTTTTAAGAAAAGAAAAAAGTGAGCAGAGAAAAAATTAGTACAAAGGCACTGAAGTGTTTATAATATTAAAAGTAATATACAGCCATCAAAGCTAGTATTCCTAAATATCTTAATTATTTGTGAATTGATTCAATTGCTTTTCAAAACCACACTATTTATTCTTTTTCTTTTTTTGAATTTTCTAACATGCTACTTTATTGGAAGTTTCTGGATTTAATATTATGAGGGAGGAATTTATCTCTTTATCACTGTCTTGACACTACAGGTAACATTATACTTCTCTGTTATTACACCTCTATTTTATATATATATTACTATTATAATTTATTACTATTATAATACTGTTTTAAGGGACTGGAGGCTAAAAAATATGAAGAGCAATTGCAGGAGCTGGGTATGTCTAGTCTAATGAAAAGAAGGACTGGGGTGACATAATAGCAGTGTTCCAATATTTGAGGGGCTGCCACAAAGAAGAGGGGTCAACCTATTTTCCAAAGCACCTGAAGACCATACAAGCAATGGATGGAAACTAATCAAGGAGAGAACCAACCTAGTAATAAGGAGAAATTTCCTGACAGTGAGAACAATTAATCAGTCCATCACTCCACCACCAGTCCAGAAGTTGTGGGTGTTCCATAATTGGAAGTTTTAAAGAAGAAATTGGGGAGCCATTTGTCTGAAATGGTATAGGGTTTCCTGCTTCAGCAGGGGGATGGACTTCCAAGGTCCCCTCCAATTCTGTTCCTATCTTCTAACTATGAAAGTTCCTAAACATATACTTTTTATTCTTAAAGGAATGGTTCCAGCTTCATAATAGTTTTGATTACTTCTTTTTGTATCTTCGCCAACTTTGCAGTACTGTATCATAGGCATTTTGATTACTTTTCTTTTCCTATTGTACCTTTTCTAATCATCCCCAAAATTCATTTGCATTTTCATAGCTACTGCACAGCTATTTATATTTTTAACAAACTATTCTTAAGATCTTTTTTTGTCAATCTCTGCTTTCTCAAACCAGACCTTTTCCTGTGACCAATGGCTAGAGAATTAGAAAAGAGTTATGGAAGATAGTTTTTATATATAAAAGCTGCACAGTATATGCACAAAAATGGAAAGATTCTGAAATATCTACAATGGAGGAATGGTTAGTGAAGATGACAGTATTAGCAGAGATTGCAAACTTGACTTATTTGATTAGAGAAAGAACAGTAATTATATTAGTGGCTGGAAACCCCTCATGGACTTTTTGCTGAAAAAAGAAAAAAATGAACTTATTATTTATGGATTTGATGATCAAAAAGGGTAGACTATGGAAAAAAGGAAATTTTGTTGTAATCTTACAGAGCAAGGGTAAAATATAAATGTACTTGTAACTGCTGGAAGCTACATCTTCATAACTTTTTGTTTTTTTTCTTTCTCTTCTGTCTATGGAGATTCTCAGTCATCCAGGTCACGATTGTCCCAAAAGTGCTTTTTCACAAGGCAACTGGATTCTTTTTTCTCTTTGAAGATGTTTCACTTCTCATCCAAGAAACTTCTTCATCTCTGACTGGATGATGGGGAATTGAAGGATTTATACTCCTTGTAGACAGCTGGTCATTAGCATTCTTTTAGAGAGTCATTGATGCCATCTGGAGGCTTATCTGTGTCATTAGGGTCACCTGAGTGATGCAAATGGGCGTGGAGCCTTCTTGGAACTGTTGAAAAGAGTGTGTTGTAGACTGAAGATAGATGATGTCATGTCCCTCCCCCTCTGTTGAGAGAGGATTGTTGAATTTTGACATAGATGTCCTCTTTGACTCCCTCTTTCAAATTAGCAGTCCTCTGTGTCCGAAATGTGGACTTTGCTGAATTCAAAAGAGTGGCCATTCCCCACCATCCAGTCAGATCTGAAGAAGCTTCTTGGATGAGAAGCAAAACGAATTCAAAGAGAAAAAAGTAAGTCCAGTTGTCTCATGAAAAAGTTCTTTCTTTCTCTATTTTTTCTTTGTATTTTTTTTCACCTATTTATTACCTTTTTTTGTTTTCCTTTTGTTTTTCAAAATTTGTATTTTTATTCTTTTAAAATTTATTTTAATAAAAATTGTACACAAAAAAGGAAGCACTGCCTTCTCAGAGCTCATCAGCATGTGCACAAAGTGTATATATCGCTGTATATACTTCATGTTATGATTTATTTACACTGAATCACTATTTTATTTTTGTTTCAGGACCTTATAACTTTATTGATGTCAACATGCATGGAGTCACAAACTGTTCACTATGGGCATTTACTAGTTTATTTAAATGTCTTCATTCAAGTACCTATATTATCATATAATCCACTCACATACTTTCTCCCCAATATTTCTAATGAACAAATAACCAATTTATTGATTACCTTTTCCTCAGACAGACAGCTTTCCTAGCCATTGCAGGAGAGCTGAAATAGTAAAAAGGAATCTAGTAGCATATCATCAGTGCATGAAGCAAGCAGTAGCTTACAAAACCTTAAGCCTTCCAACTAAGAAGTTGGAAAAGAAGCTAATGCCTTCTGATTTTTGCCTCCTTCCTTGAAACTTTCAATCTTCCTGACAGATGGGGACTGGTGTTGGGATACCACTGTTGCACCCTTTTATACCCTTTTATACCTTGTGCACAAGCCTGTGTCAAGTATCTACTATGGGCTGTTCTACTATTCTTCTGATTGCCAGAATTTATTACGTTAAGCACATCCACATAAATTTTGAGTAACCAAGGTATTTGCACCAAGCATAGTCTCTGCTGCTTCCCATCTTCTTGAATAAGTTTATTTGGAAAGTTATGAAAGTTCAGGCTGCAAAGTCTTCTAGTCTAGTTGATTAAATCTCACAGATAGTCTTCTATTTTGTGTATGTTTTCAGTTGTCACATCATCTGCTCATGCCTATGAAGTTGGGCACTCTCATAAGCTGGTTTATTTTTATAGCAAGCTTCCCTCAATTTCTGTTCAAGCAACAATAAGACTATGAATTAAGTAAACAACCATAATAGATTATATCAAAGAGCTTTTTAGACATACGGACCTAATGGGGTATAAGTTTGAACTGAGAGTAAATCATGGGTGGAGATTACAAAGAATGGTGATAAACTGCAGCACCTATAGAATTGTTTTTGAAGCAACAACTTGGAATGAGCAGAAGCAATGCTTGTTAGCCAGAACTTCTATTATCTCTGCCACTGCTTCAGTTCCTCCACAGCTTCTTATTGTTCTCTGTCCTGTCCTCTGCTTATGATCCTAAATAGCTCCTAGCAAGAAACTACCCTTGGAAACTCTGGCACTTGTTATTCTGCTCAAGTTCAGCCAGAACTTTTAATTCAATGTATTAGACTTCTTTGGAAAGCAGACCTCTAATCTCAATAAACTATGCATATCCAACTGTGCCTTGCCAGCCTCCTCTTATCACTTCCCTTTGTTGGTGGTTCAGAAATTATGAAGATGTGGGGGGAATGTAATGATTTGAGCCTTTTGCTCCAGTCCAATATTATATCTTGTAGTCTTAGCAGCTTCACTTATCCTTGACAATGCCTGGTAAAAAGGTAACAAAAAACCTTAGGGAACAAGAGAACGTTGGCACTATTTCTTAATTTGTGATCTAAATGTGCTGCTCTGCGACATTGCCTACTGAGAAGGCATTTAGCATTTTCTCGAGGAAGAGCAGTATTTTGAGGAAGTGCTGAGACTTTAAAATTGGAATATGCCTATTTGAGGGTTAAGATGTCTTTCATACCTGAAAATGGCAGCAATCCAGCAATCAAGTTAAGAGAGGGCATTCAGTACCAGCCCCACCTCTGTGAAACAATAAATCAAATCTAAAACAAGCCTGTCCTTTAATAATCTTTCTACATGCCTCTCTGTATACCAAAATGTTGTTAGCTTCAGTTGTACAACTGATTAGCTTCTATCTTAACTGTGGAGCAGGAGGAATGCTGTGGAAACACTTCAGAGGTATTAACTCCTGAGTCACATGATAGGTGACTTCCCATTTGCAAGATCTTCTGCTTCATCCTGCCTCCAGCTGGCTAACTTTCCTGCTGCTGAAAACAAGATGCCAGATACCTTGTCATTATTTCACTGGGCTTATATTGGATATATATATGCTTTTTTTTTTCCTCATCAAAAAACAAAAACAAAAAACAACAACAAAGATATAGGTAAGGGCAGAATGGTGGAGGGAGGAAGTCCTGGTAGGTTAATATATGAAGTGAGGATCATAAGAGAAAGAATATTCATTGGCAGTTCAAAAATATTTCTGATGGTTTGGGGGTGAAATTGTTATCTCTGTCAAAATGCCTTAAGTCAGTAATACTAAAGAATCAAATAGCACAAGAGAAATTTTATGTGGCAACTGGGGAATACAATACATAGTCACTTTGAATTAGTGCAAGTATGAGAGAAGGACATACAGGATGAAGCACAGCAATGTGTAAAACTACATTAGAAGGTGCCCTGAAGTTTGTTTTTTTGCATCCACCAGGAAAAAAACCCTTCATTTTGATGATCAAAACCAAGAAGTAATCTTATCTATCCATCATATCCGTATCTTTGTAAGAGCAGACACATTGATAATTGTGAAAAACTGGAGACAAATGAGTTCTTTAATTCTAACAATGAAATACCAAAAATTATGCTGGTATTTGCTTTATAAATTTCACAATCTTTTACAGGATAGCAATGAAAGCCAGGTAGAGAAATCATTAAGAAAAAAATACCATTAGGAAACATGATGGTCAGTTCAAAAGGCAATTTAATGTAAAATTTAAAAGCCATAAAAAGCCTTGGTTACATTTTGGAACAAAGTTTTTGCTGATAGTTGATTCCCAAAGTAACAACAAATACGCTTTTTTCTGAGAAAAACTATGGTTAATTCTTCTACAAGGCCTATCAGACGAACTCAGTCTTTACTATCACAAGGACAAAGATAATTTCATTTTATATTTTGTGGAATTAGAGAAAATATATCTTTATATATATTTCTCTCCTGTTGATGTGCTCTAGTATTTGCATAAATTGATAGAGTTTGGTTATTATTAGAGTGGATGTTAAAATAATTTTAGCATATCATTGATATACATATACCAATATCCATAAATGTATCTTAATATCAAGGCTAAATGGGTTTTCTGACAGAAATATATGTTACTGAATTCCTAGACAGATGTTAAGATGCATATATATATAACATCAGCAATTAACAAGCTTGCTGTAAAGCTGACTGAATCATTGGCAGGAATTCTTGATAAAGCTCATCTCAGTAACATTGTTTTTACAGAGATATCTTAAGAAGCTCCGAAATAAAATGGCACTGAAATGTCAATTATTATTGTCAAGAACAGAAAAGGTTCTGAGTGCATGGGGGAATATTATATAGTTGCCTCAAAAATTCAAGCAACCTAAATACACAAAAATCAAATCCAGGGCAAGATTAAATGATGTATTCATTGCCATTTTCATACTTTCAAGGGTAAGATGGTAATTTTGGCAATGAAAGCACTCTGTCCAGGATTCATTGTTGGGGAAGGAGAAATGAAGGCCAGTGCCATGATGATATAGTGGATGTTAAAATCTGCTTGACTACTTTGAACTGGTACCACTATGGAGCCATGTTCCTGTTGCTATAGATGTTGAAACATCAAAGAGAGCAAAATATTAACATAACTAAACAACAATCCACTTTTTCCGTGAGTTTTCCCTATTGCATTTCTATTTATTTAGTTGAAGTACCAAGGGAGCTCTAGACTGAAGTAGCATTTCTATGGTTTGAATGATTTTATTCATGGATCAATTGTGCCTTGTATTATCTGGCATATAAAACATAAGGAAAAATACAGAGAGCAACTTTCTGTAATTTCATTCACTCCCTCAACAAGTGGCAGTGAAGAAAGCTTACTGAAGATGGTGCATAGAAAGTGTGCCCCTCTATTTAATGCACAAACCCCAGTGAGGGCTGAAGCTGTGAGTGGTAGGCAGTGCAATGCCTAGGAGAATGTCTCCTCCACCACACCTATTAGGCAAAAGGCAGCCAAGGGCACTGGTGCCCAAAGGAAGTTTGTCGTCTGCCACATAAAGAAGAGTCTTCCCTCTAACTGAAGGGGGAGGGGGAGAGCAGCCATATTTGCCGGAGGGCACAAGTACTACTTGCGCAGGCAGAAGTCCACAGATGTCCTTTGCGAGGAGACCAACTGCCTAGATAAAGGGCATCTGCTATCGCCAAGTCCTTGCTCTCTCCCGCGGGACCGCCTCTTTTTGGTGGCGAATCGGTTACTATGGATACAAAATGATACCCTCTGAACGACTCTGGTCGTTGGGGGCGGACTGGAAACCGTAGTGAAGGCGTCGCCCTTTGCTCGCTCCCGTGGCTGCTCTGTTCCCCCACGCTCCACTTACATGCCCAGGTTGCTGTAGGTGTTGTAGAACTCCATGTGGTTGCAGGCCTGGATCCAACCCACCACCCAGGTGTGACGGCGCGAGATAGGTGGCATGAGGACGCGAGCGGCGGCGCGGAAATAGGGCGTTCGGTAGCGCAGCACGATGGGCGATGTCTCCTCGATGGCGGTGGCTCCCGGCTCAATGGAGGCCGACACGTCGTATACCACGATGTTCTCTCTGCGCACCCGCGCCTTGCACGCCACGCTCTGCAAGCAACCCATAGCCAGGCGGGACCTGCCCCCTAGCCTCCCCAGCCGGGGCCCCGCATCCGGCCGACCTCAGGATCAGCCAGCACCCTAGCACCCCTCCTGCTCAGGATCATTTCAGCATCCGGAGGCTAGCACACATCACACACAGCGCGCAGGATTCTACCTGTTCCTAGGCCGGGGTCGCGTGGCTCCCCCGAGTTGCACTCTCCCACCTTCCTCTAAGCTCCTATATGAGCAGTGCAGGCTGAGGCAGCGCCAGGGGAATTGCGGGCCCGCGCGCGTGTCTGGAAGGGAAGGGGCTGGCTCACCCACCAAGTCCTTAGCACCAGGGTGGGTCCGAGGACACGTGCCGGGGAGAGAATGACGTGAAGGGCAGGCGAAAAAAAGGGGTCTCCGCGGCAAACGTAACGTAGCCGACAGGATTGTTAAAATCTTATTTTGCGTCTCGGCAGTGGCGTGTTTTGCACGGATAGCGCTTTAACAGATTAGCGGAAAGCATTTTTTTTTCCTTTATGAAGGGTACATTTTTTTTTTTTTTGCAGATATTGAATTTAAAGCGTGCAAATTTAAATTAGGACTCAGGGTTAATCCTAAAGTGCCTCCATCGTGCTTGAAAAATGGCCAGAAGGGTTGATGCTTTTTTATTCCATGGATTCTGGTTTTCCTAGGCAATTTGCCAGTGGTTAATCAGTGTTTTCTCTCAGCATGTTCTTCAGGAACGATTAACGTCAAATTCAGGGTACCTTTCAAAATTTCTTGACTCCTCCCTTGGACATGATGATGATATTAACAGGGCCACCTGCCCTTTTCCCAGTACTTTTCTTGTATGAACAGTTACAATTACCACCAGATTCCCCAGCCATAGACACTTGGTATCAAGAGTAAGAAAATACTTCTACCTATAGCAGTGGTTCTCAACCTTTTTAATGCTGTGACCCCCAACTGGTCATAAGTCGAGGACTACCCAACTGGTCGTAAGTTGAGGACTACCCAACTGGTCGTAAGTCGAGGATTTTCCCTGCCTGGGAGCACCGCACATGCGTGGTGCCACCCCCTGCACCAGCCGAGGCATAGCTGGCAAGGGGCAGTGACGCCGCAGGGCGACCACCAGCTGGGCTACCAGCTGGCCCAGCCCAAGGGACGTAAGGCACCCGCTGGGCCCCACGCGTGCCAGCAACCCTCCCTGCGCCTGCCGGCCTCCCACCTCCCACCCCTGGCCTTCTTTTACTTACATTTTTAGTAGTTGCTCAGCAGGGAGAGGTGGAAACTTCCAGACAGCTCGCTTCGCTGCAGACAACTTGCAGCACCGTTTACGGAATGGGACTTTTGGCGGGCTCAGCAGGGCAGAGACAGCCTGGACAATTCATATTGGCTTTTGAAAGCCAATAGAATTAGACTCTATTCAAGAGAGTTTATTCTATTGGCTTTCGAAAGCCAATAGAATAAAAGGGAGTAGCACAGCTAAGGGAAAGGGGGAAAAAATGGCAGACTGCGTTGTTTGGTGACCCCCGTGAAATGGTCGTTCGACCCCAAATGGGGTCGCGACCCACAAGTTGAGAACTGCTGACATAGAAAAGACAGAAATAGCATGTTGGTTATAAGAAGGAAAAAACTTCATATTATGACAACATGAATACAGCCACCTTGTTGTTGTTGTTAATTGTGAAGTCATGTCCGACCCATCGCGACCCCATGGACAACATTCCTCCAGGTCTTCCTGTCCTCTACCATATTCTGGAGTCCATTTAAATTCACACCTACTGCTTCAGTGACTCCATCCAGCCATCTCATTCTCTGTCGTCCCCTTCTTCTATTGCCCTCAATCTTTCCCAGCATTAGGCCTTTCTCCAGTGAGTCCTTACTTCTCATTAGGTGGCCAAAGTATTTGAGTTTCAACTTCAGGATCTGGCCTTCTAAAGAGCAGTCGGGGTTGATCTCTTCTAGGACTGACCGGTTTGAACGCCTTGCAGTCCAAGGGACTCGCAGGAGTCTTCTCCAGCACCCTAGTTCAAAGGCCTCAATTCTTTGGCGCTCAGCCTTTCTTATGGTCCAACTTTCACAGCCATACATTGCAACTGGGAAAACCATGGCCTGGACTAAACGCACTTTTGTTGGCAGGGTGATATCTCTGATTTTTAGTGTGCTGTCTAGATTAGCCATAGCTTTCCTCCCCAGGAGCAAGCGTCTTTTAATTTCTTGGCTGCAGTCCCCATCTGAGGTGATCTTGGAGCCCAGAAAAATAAAATCTGTCACTACCTCCATTTCTTCCCCATCTATTTGCCAGGAATTGAGATGGCCGGATGCCATGAATTTTGGTTTTCTTAATGTTGAGTTTCAAGCCTACTTTTGCACTCTCCTTCTTCACCCGCATCAAGAGGCTCTTTAGTTCCTCTTCACTTTCTGCCATTAGCGTGGTATCATCTGCATATCTTAGGTTGTTGATATTTCTCCCGGCAATCTTAATTCCAACTTTTGATTCATCTAGCCCTGCCTTTCTCATGATGTGCTCTGCATATAAGTTAAATACGCAGAGCGACAGTATACAGCCTTGCTGGACTCCTTTTCCAATTTTGAACCAATCAGTGGTTCCGTATCCAGTTCTCACTGTTGCTTCTTGACCCGCGTATAGGTTTCTCAAGAGACAAATGAGATGGTCTGGTACTCCCATCTCTTTAAGAACTTGCCACAATTTGTTGTGATCCACACAATCAAAGGCTTTTGCATAGTCAATGAAGCAGAAGTAGATGTTTTTCTGGAACTCCCTAGCTTTCTCCATGATCCAGCGTATGTTGGCAATTTGATCTCTAGTTCCTCTGCCTCTTCGAAATCCTGCCTGTACTTCTGGTAGTTCTCGATCCACATACTGCTGGAGTCTAGCTTGTAGGATTTTAAGCATAACTTTACTAGCATGTGAAATGAGTGCAATGGTGCGATAGTTTGAACATTCTTTGGCATTGCCTTTCTTTGGAATTGGAATGTAAACTGACCTTTTCCAATCCTGTGGCCACTGTTGAGTTTTCCAAATTTGCTGGCAAATTGAGTGTAGCACTTTTACTGCATCGTCTTTTAAGATTTTGAATAGCTCAGCTGAAATACTGTCACCTCCACTAGCTTTGTTGTTGCTCAGATTTTCTAAGGCCCATTTCACTTCACATTCTAGGATGTCTGGTTCGAGGTCAGTGACCATCTCATTGTGGTTATCTGGGATGTTAAGCTCATTCTTGTATAGTTCTTCTGTGTAGTTTTGCCATCTCTTCTTAATCTCTTCTGCCTCTGTTAGGTCTCTGCCATTTTGGTCCTTTATCATGCCCATCTTTGCATGAAACGTTCCCTTCATATCTCCAATTTTCTTGAAGAGATCTCTGGTCCTCCCTATTCTGTTGTTTTCTTCTATTTCTTTGCACTGTTCATTTAAGAAGGCATTCTTATCTCTTCTAGCTACTCTCTGGAATTCTGCATTCAATTGGGTGTATCTTTCTCTTTCTCCTTTGCCTTTGCTTCCCTTCTTTCCTCAGCTATTTGCAAAGCTTCCTCAGACAGCCATTTTGCTTTCTTGCATTTCTTTTTCTTTGGGATGGTTTTAGTTGCTACCTCTTGTACAATGTTGCGAACTTTCATCCATAGTTCTTCAGGTACTCTGTCTATCAGATCTAATTCCTTAAATCTATTTGTCACCTCTATTGTATATTCATCAGGAATATGATTTAGTTCATACCTGAGTGGCCTAGTGCTTTTCCCTACTTTTTTCAGTTTAAGCCTAAATTTTGCAACGAGAAGCTAATGATCTGAGCCACAGTCAGCTCCTGGTCTTGTTTTTACTGACTGTATAGAGCTTCTCCATCTTTGGCTGCAGAGCACATAGTCAATCTGATTTCTATGTTGACCGTCTGGTGATGTCCATGTGTAGACCCGTCTCTTGGGTTGTTGGAAAAGAGTGTTTGTTATGACCATCGTATTCTCTTGACAAAATTCTATTAGCCTGTGCCCTGCTTCATAGAACCGGTCAATTTCATCCTCTTCAGCACCAGTGGTTGGGGCATAGATTTGGACTATTGTGATACTGAATGGTTTGCCTTGGATTTGAATTGAGATCATTCTGTCATTTTGGGGATTGTATCCCAGTATTGCTTTTCCTATTCTTTTATTGACTATGAAGGCTACTCCATTTCTTCTGAGGGATTCTTTCCCACAGTAGTATACCTGATGGTCATCTGAATTAAATTCACCCATTCCTGTCCATTTTAGTTTGCTGATTCCTAAGATGTCGATGTTCAGTCTTGTCATCTCTTTTTTGACTACGTCTAGCTTGCCTTGATTCATGGATCTTACATTCCAGGTTCCTATGGAGAAAAACTCTTTACAGCATCGGACTTCCCTTTCACCACCAGATATATCCACAGCTGAGCGTCCTTTCGGCTTTGGTCCAGTCGCTTCATTCTTTCTGGCGCTACTAGTACTAGCCCTCTGCTCTTCCCCAGTAGTATATTGGACACCTTCCGACCTTCCAGCGTCATATCTTTTTTCCTTTTAGTACTGTCCATGGGATTTTCATGGCAAAGATACTGGAGTGGTTTGCCATTTCCTTCTCCAGTGGATCACATTTTGTCAGAACTCTCTGCTATAACCTGTCCGTCTTGGGTGGCCCTGCACTGCATAGCTTATAGCTTCATTGAGTTACGCAAGCCCCTTCGCCACGACAAGGCAATAATCCATAAAGGGGATAAAGCCCCCTTATGGATTAAAGCCACCTAGGTTTTAACAAACTCTTCCTAAGGCAACATGATTGAGGGGTCCTTAGTGCTCTCTGAGCTTGGTTGTTTTCATATAGACATTTCATTACCAAATTGTAATATTATCAGTGCAGGAAAACAACCAAGCTCAGAGAGCACCAAGGACCCCTCAATCGTAGGAAGAGTTTGGAAGAGTTTGTTAAAATCTAGGTGGCTGTATTTATGTTATAGTATGATTTTTTTTCCTTATAACCAACACGGCCTACAAATATTCTCTTCTATCAATAACATATTTTTTAAAAAATTAAGTAAAGAAAGGAAGAAGGATGATAGGGTTCAGGATGGACCCTTTTTGATTAATGGTTTCAATAATTATGAGTCTTTTTGACTAATGTTTCTAGTTCTTGGGTAAAGAAAGAAAGCTATGTAATGACTAATAAGAGAATTGGTTCAAACCTATTATGGACACTGGCTTGGTCATTATACCTCATTATGATGTAAAAACACCATCTCCTGAATATGAAGATTAGCATTAACAAGATCATATCAAGAATGTTAAGGAATGTTACATGCT